AGCTTCCTGAAAATCGGCCCAGATTTAAATACAGCTCCCACATATATGTTCGTCCGATTTAATATAAATGGTGTACTAAAGTCCCTATATATCTTTAAATATTCACGAAGTTTGGAATAGCGTATTGAAATAAATATAGAATTATGTGTGTTAAGTTTTGTGAAAATCGGTTCCGATTTAGATATAGCTCCCACATATAATTTTCTCTGATTTAATGTAAATGGCGTACCAAAGTCCCTACATGAATAAAGTCTAGGATTAATCTGCTGTTATGATTCATCTGTTTAATGTACCCAAAGTGGTGAAGGGTATCATATAGACTGCCCCGTCCAACTTTACTACTTTCCTTACTGGTTTATAAATATTTTTCAAAGGTCCTGAAGCGAGCTTGTGCAGTCTCAAGAGTTTGTAACGCCGCGAAATACTGATCTTAGACCCACCTTTAAATATGCCGATCGTCATATCTCGACTAGCTGAATCGATCTATACATGTCCGTCCGTCTGTCCATTATAAATTCTAAACACGATACAGGCCACAGTTATGGACCAATCTTCACGAAATTTTGTATGTAGGATGGGTTCTGGCCAATGAAGACCCCTATTGTTTTTGGTAAAGATCGGTTAATATTTAGGGATGAAATGGACCAAATACTTATTTTTTGTCGGTTTTTCTGGTTGCTGGTTATGGCCCAAACATCGCGAATTTTTGCATGGAGAAGGGGATCGGGCCAAAGAATATGCATGCCTGTTTGGATAAAGATCTGTCAATATTTAGCGGGTCAAATGGACCCTGACTTTTGTGTGAGAAATGACAAAATTTGAATTCTATAGCGTATATATTTACTATAGGACATAGACCCGAGAAGTTGATAATATATCCTAGAGGAGTGGTTGACCTTTAAATTGATACTAATTATATTGTCGGATGTGCTCAGATATGGAAGTTATACATAATAAGGAAATGTGACTGTGTGCATAGTCATATGTGCATACTCCATTAGAGGACGGAAATGTCGCGCTGATCGCTTTGAAATTGTAATGGAAGTTCCGATTATGGTCAAGGACGACATCAGATTTTCTAGTCGCTCTAAAGGCAATTATTATATTCAGAACATTGCATATTTTACAATGTGAAGGGGATGTGACCAAATACTTAGAGCGGCTGTTTAGATGATGATCGGTCAATATTCCGAGGGTCAAATCAACTAAAACCTAAAGTGACCAATTTTTTTATTTTTTGGCGTAAAAATTCACTTCAAGAAAAAATGGAAAATATGTCAGGGTTAGAAAGTGGAGCTGTTGACCTATACTTGATCAAGAGGTTGCAAATATCACGAAATATTGCCCAGTTTCAGAATATAGAACCGCAGAAAGTTAGAGTTCCGTGGTAGTTGTGTAGGGTATCATATGGTCGGCCCTGTCCGACTATACTGCTCCGCTCACTGGTTTATAAACATTTTTTCAAGGACCCGAGGCGAGCGAGGATTTTTTATAAATATCGCCTTGGATTTTTTAACGAATATTTTTACAGAGACCAACAAGGCGTGGATTGCTTAAAAACCTAAAGGGCCTTTAAAATCCTGCACATGAAATATGCGAATATAATTCAGTCCATTGTTGAACACAAATTTTCTCAGTTGTAGGTTGTAATAAATTTCATTTGATTCATAACGAAACCCTTGCATTCAACCCCAACAAACACACGCTCAAACGCTTCAACAGTTTCATTGGGAGGAACATTCAAAAACATATTTCCCTTGAAATGGCGGGCCATTATGCATTGTTCGCCCCCAAACACCGAAAGGAGGTTGTGGGTATCCGCTCGAATGATGTTTTGTTTCATTTGTCACACACTCAGTCACTCACCCAGTCACAGTCGGATATCAGTCATAGTCAGCCTGTGGAGATTTGAACAATTTGGATGGTCTTTTGTCTGGAAGTAGGTGAATGTGGCACTCACTGTGTGTGAGCGAGGGAGCTTTTAACTATGTTCAAGGTCCTTGTATATTGAAATGTATATCTCTCTGTGAGTGTGGGTGTTGTATGTATATATGTATTTGTTTATTTAAATATGCAAATTGTTATTGTTTGCCTTTGTCCTTTGCATATTATTGTTGCCTTTGTTTTTATTTTTCTTTTGTTCTGCTTGTTATTTATAACACCCCCAATATAAAACGCCATGTGAGACAATTTTTATTAGGTTTTCTCCGAATTGTATCTCTTTTGTTGTGGCCAAAATAATTTTCTTATTATCCGAACAATTGTTGTTTGATTTTAATGAAGCTATTTCACGTGAAATGAACTGAGCGTGCTGACAAAGAGATATGAGTTTGTGTTTTTGTGATATGGCAGATGAGTTGTCAGATTCTAATGCGAAAAGGATATCGTGCGACATAATAAAAATTATTTTTATACCCTTCACCACACTGTGGTACAGGGTATTATGTCTTTGTGCATATGTTTGTAACAGGCGAAAGGAAACGAGATAGACCCATGGTTCCTTTTGAGGATATGCATAGAATCACTTTCTGAGTCGATTTATGCATGTCCGTCCGTCTGTAGATGTTAAATTGTAAACAAAGTACAGGTCGCATTTATGATACGATTTGGATGAAATTTGGCACCAGTCACTTATTTGGCCCAAGGACGAACCCTATTGTAATTGCGAAAAATCGGTTCAGATATAGATATAGCTCCCATATATATTTTCGTCCGATTTAAGGTAAATGGGGCACCAAAGCCCCTCTATATCTTTCGGAAGATGTGTGCCAAGTTTCGAGACAAGGCGTAGATTTATAAAAGAATATTTTTCAAAGGACTATCAAGGCGTAGATTTATAAAAGAATATTTTTCAAAGGACTATCAAGGCGTAGATTTATAAAAGAATATTTTTCAAAGGACTATCAAGGCGTAGATTTATAAAAGAATATTTTTCAAAGGACTATCAAGGCGTAGATTTATAAAAGAATATTTTTTAAAGGACTATCAAGGCGTAGATTTATAAAAGAATATTTTTCAAAGGACTATCAAGGCGTAGATTTATAAAAGAATATTTTTCAAAGGACTATCAAGGCTATTTAAAAAGAATATTTTTCAAAGGACTATCAAGTAGATTTATAAAAGAATATTTTTCAAAGGACTATCAAGGCGTAGATTTATAAAAGAATATTTTTCAAAGGACTATCAAGGCGTAGATTTATAAAAGAATATTTTTCAAAGGACTATCAAGGCGTTTTATAAAAGAATATTTTTCAAAGGACTATCAAGGCGTAGATTTATAAAAGAATATTTTTCAAAGGACTATCAAGGCGTAGATTTATAAAAGAATATTTTTCAAAGGACTATCAAGGCGTAGATTTATAAAAGAATATTTTTCAAAGGACTATCAAGGCGTAGATTTATAAAAGAATATTTTTCAAAGGACTATCAAGGCGTAGATTTATAAAAGAATATTTTTCAAAGGACTATCAAGGCGTAGATTTATAAAAGAATATTTTTCAAAGGACTATCAAGGCGTAGATTTATAAAAGAATATTTTTCAAAGGACTATCAAGGCGTAGATTTATAAAAGAATATTTTTCAAAGGACTATCAAGGCGTAGATTTATAAAAGAATATTTTTCAAAGGACTATCAAGGCGTAGATTTATAAAAGAATATTTTTCAAAGGACTATCAAGGCGTAGATTTATAAAAGAATATTTTTCAAAGGACTATCAAGGCGTAGATTTATAAAAGAATATTTTTCAAAGGACTATCAAGGCGTAGATTTATAAAAGAATATTTTTCAAAGGACTATCAAGGCGTAGATTTATAAAAGAATATTTTTCAAAGGACTATCAAGGCGTAGATTTATAAAAGAATATTTTTCAAAGGACTATCAAGGCGTAGATTTATAAAAGAATATTTTTCAAAGGACTATCAAGGCGTAGATTTATAAAAGAATATTTTTCAAAGGACTATCAAGGCGTAGATTTATAAAAGAATATTTTTCAAAGGACTATCAAGGCGTAGATTTATAAAAGAATATTTTTCAAGGGCCAACTGAGGCGTGGATTTATTAAAGAATATTTTTCAAGGGCCAACTGAGGCGTAGATTTATAAAAGAATATTTTTCAAAGGACTATCAAGGCGTAGATTTATAAAAGAATATTTTTCAAAGGACTATCAAGGCGTAGATTTATAAAAGAATATTTTTCAAAGGACTATCAAGGCGTAGATTTATAAAAGAATATTTTTCAAAGGACTATCAAGGCGTAGATTTATAAAAGAATATTTTTCAAAGGACTATCAAGGCGTAGATTTATAAAAGAATATTTTTCAAAGGACTATCAAGGCGTAGATTTATAAAAGAATATTTTTCAAAGGACTATCAAGGCGTAGATTTATAAAAGAATATTTTTCAAAGGACTATCAAGGCGTGGATTTTTTCATAAAAGATAATATTTATAAAAGAATATTTTTCAAAGGACTATCAAGGCGTAGATTTATAAAAGAATATTTTTCAAAGGACTATCAAGGCGTAGATTTATAAAAGAATATTTTTCAAAGGACTATCAAGGCGTAGATTTATAAAAGAATATTTTTCAAAGGACTATCAAGGCGTAGATTTATAAAAGAATATTTTTCAAAGGACTATCAAGGCGTAGATTTATAAAAGAATATTTTTCAAAGGACTATCAAGGCGTAGATTTATAAAAGAATATTTTTCAAAGGACTATCAAGGCGTAGATTTATAAAAGAATATTTTTCAAAGGACTATCAAGGCGTAGATTTATAAAAGAATATTTTTCAAAGGACTATCAAGGCGTAGATTTATAAAAGAATATTTTTCAAAGGACTATCAAGGCGTAGATTTATAAAAGAATATTTTTCAAAGGACTATCAAGGCGTAGATTTATAAAAGAATATTTTTCAAAGGACTATCAAGGCGTAGATTTATAAAAGAATATACGTTCTATCCAATTTTACTAATAACTGTAATTTTCAACAATTGAATAAAGATCTATTGGAGGAAATTTTGAAAAGGAATTCAAGGGCAGATTCCATACCAATTTCTTTAAATTGCGATATGACAGTCGAACTTGATAAATATTTTAATTTTCGTCTTATAATTGCCCAGGGTGTTGAAGAAGTGCGGTAAGTATTTGAAATATTGAATAGAAGTCTAGATAACTTGTAAATTATTTTAAAATTTCAGTTTGGATTTAAAACATTCCGTTGAATATATGAGATCGTTGCAATCAATTGAAACGACAGTTATCAAATTCGTGATAATTCTAAATAATGAACAACCGTTTGCCCAGCAACTAAAGGAAATGGAAAATATATTTCAAATCTTATTCAATGCCTACATTTTGGATGTAATTATTATAGTTCCTGGTTCGGAAAAGCTTCAGATTTTCAGTTATTTTCCTTTTACTGATAATAATTGTTCCTGTGTAACTCCGATTTTATTGTTCAGTATTAAACACGGCTCGAAACTTCTGCCATTGAAACACCATGATTTATTTCCAACGAAAACCTCAAATTTATTTCAATGTCCAGTTAAAGTTGTTGTCTGGAATATTCCACCTTATATTGAAGTAAAAAATGATACAAATGGCGCCCTAACAATTTATGGAATTGATGCATTCATTTTGAAAATTATTTCGGATACTCTTAATTTTTCGGTTGTCCTCATGCCTAACGAACCACCAGAGTATATCTCAGGATATGTTTATCCCAATGGGACGACTTTGGGTGTTTTTAAAATGGTAAGTAAAACATATTTTTATACCCTACACAACTATGTTGTCAGGGTATTATAGCTTTGTGCAGCCCCAAGAGTTTGTAACGCCGCGAAATATTGGTCCTAGACCCACCATTAAATATACCGATCGTTTTATCTCGACTAGCTAAGTCGATCTAGACATGTGGGTCCGTCCGTCTGTCCATTATAATTTGTAAACACGATACAGACCACAGTTGTGGACCAATCTTCACGAAATTTTGCATGTAGGATGGGTTCGGCCCAATGAAGACCCCTATTGTTTTTCGTAAAGATCGGTTAATATTTAGGGGATGATATGGACCAAATACTTAATTTTTGTCGGTTTTTCTGGTCGCTCCAAAGGCCGCAAACATCTCGAAGTTTTACATGGAGAAGGGGATTGTGCCAATGATAATAATCGGTCAATATTTAGCGGGTCAAATTGATCCAGACTTTTGTTACAAAACTTGTATTCTATAGCATATATATTTTCTCCTTTGTGTTTTTTTCGAAATTTTACCCAGGCTCGAAATAAAAATCCGCAGTAAAATAGAGTTCTGTGGTAGTTGTGTAGGGTATCGTATGGTCGGCCGCGTCCAACTATACGATCCGCCCACTGGTTTAAAAATATTTTCAGGGTATTCCTATAGGCGTGAATTTTTTTAAAATATTTTTTATTGGTACAACTACAGGCGTGGATTTTTTGAAAATACTTTTTAGGGTTTACCTATTGGCGTGTTTTTATACCCTTCACAACAATGTGGTACAGGCTATTATGTCTTTGTGCATATGTTTGTAACAGGCAAAAGGAATCGAGATAGACCCATGGTTCCTTTTGAGAATATGCATAGAATCACTTTCTGAGTCGATTTATGCATGTCCGTCCGTCCGTCTGTTGATGTTAAATTGTAAACAAAGTACAGGTTGCATTTATAATCCGATTTGGCTGAAATTTGGTACAGCTCATTTATTTGGCCCAAGGACGAACCCTATTGTAATTGGGAAAAATCGGTTCAGATTTAGATATAGCTCCCATATATATTTTCGTCCGATTTAAGGTAAATGGTGTACCAAAGTCTCTGAAAATCTTTCGATTTGCACGAATTTTGGCATAGCGTACTGAATTAAGTCTAGAATGATGTGTGATAAGTTTCGTGAAAATCGGTTTAGATTCAGATATAGCTCCCATATATAGTTTCGCCCGATTTTTGGTAAATGGTGCACCAAAGTCCCTCAAAATCTTTCGATTTGCACGAATTTTGGCATAGCGTCCTGAATTAAGTCCAGAATGATGTGTGCTAAAGTTCGTGAAAATCGGTTCAGATTTAGATATAGCTCCCATATATATTTTCGCCCGATTTTAGGCAAATGTTGCACCAAAGTCTGTGAAAATCTTTCGATTTGCACGAATTTTGGCATAATTCACTAAATTAAGTCTAGAAAGACGTGTGCTAAGTTTTGTGAAAATCAGTTCAGATTTAGATATAGCTCCCATATATAGTTTCGCACGATTTTAGGTAAATGGTGCACTAAAGATCCATAGCTAGGCCGATTGACACCACGTACTGAAGTTAATATAAATTAATCTCTGATAAGTTTCCTTGAAATCGGTTCAGATATAGATATAGCATAGCATCCATATATAATTTCGAGTTATTCGTATTAATTGTACACCAAATAATCAATGGGTGTCGGATTGAGATTAAACTATAAACAGTGCAGCATACCGAATAGCGTGTGTCAAGTTTGCTTTAAATGGGTTTACAAAATGTACCATAGGTTGCAGAATGACATGTGTAGGGATTAATGTTAGTCGGTTCAGATACAGATAAAGATCACATAAGTTCGTTCAATTGCATGTTAATTTTCCTTCGAAAATTCGACATCTTTTAGGATACATATGTTGAATATACCCAAAGTGGTGAAAAATTTTTTTCAAAGGACCAACACGGGAAGGACTTTTTAATGAATATATTTCTCAAAGGATCGAGTCGAGGCTTTTTTAAAATTTTTTTTTAAAGAGCAACAAGGCGAGGATTTTTAAAAAATATTATGTCAAAGGATCAACAAGGCGAGAATGTTTTAAAAAATACATTTTCAGAGGACCAAGACGGCGAGGGTTTTTAAAAAATATTTTTTCAAAGGACCAACAATGCGAAGATTTTTTAAAGAATACTTTTTCTAAGGACTGACAAAGCGAGACTTTTTTAAAGAATACGTTTTCAAAAGACCAACAAGGCGTGGATTATTTAAAGAATATTTTTTCGAATGCCATTTTTCTCTTCTTGGATATATCTCTACTTATTTTGTGTTTTTCATTTCAGCTTCAGGAACAACGTGCCAACCTAACAATTGGTTGTGTTGGCTGTCAAATAAATCGCCTACAAATAACATCCGGTTCCATACCATACTTCTTGCCAACATTTGTGGTTATTCTCAAGAATAGTGTGGTTATAAAATCACGAGATCTATTAGTACGGCCATTTACATATCCAACATGGCGTCTCATAACATGCGTCGCTATTCTGAAAATGATAATTTTCCCCATTATGCGAAAACGTCAAATTAAATTATATACCATATTTCTTATGGCATGGTTATATGTATTATTCTTCCTACGTATCAGCTATGAGGGTGTGATGTATCATGTCATTACAAATCCACCTTATCAACCTCTACCCAAAACGGTTAGGGAATTAATTGCACAAAATTACACGCTCTTTGTTGATTATTCTACATATCGGGTATTGGAAAAGCAACCATTGCTACAAGAAAGATCACACAGTGTTAATTGCGGTCCAATAGAGCTGTTGGAACAGATAGATGAGCTGCCGTACAAAAGTGGTATTCTAACAACAAATGTCTATGTTGGCCATTTCATGAAGGCGCGTATGAAAAATCTCACTCGTTACTCGGTGTTACATGAGAAAATATTTAATGGTTTAAATTGCATTTACTATACGAGAGGTTCGTATCTAGCCCCAGCTATTGATCCGATTTTGCAGCGTCTAATCGATTCGGGTATGCGAAATAAATTCTTTAGAAGCTTGAGTTTAAGCAACGTACCAGCAAGCACAGCAAAATGGCAGCGTGTCCATCCAAAGAATCAAAAATTCCGATTGGGTTTTACATTTTTACAAGTCGTCTTTAAAGCTCTGCTGCAATTTCATTTTGTTGCTTTTGTTATATTTTGTGGAGAAATTATTACGCACAAATATCTCAGAAATTGTAAAATCTATAGAAAATTCAAACAACAATTAATAAATAAAATAATAAGTAATAAATAAATAAAAATTTTGTGTGTGTGTTTCATTTAATTACGACAATTGTAAAGGTATTTGATCCATATGAGACTTATAATTAATTTTTATAAAGACAGATTATATTCTACCTAAGTGTTACCAGACGTCATTTGACATCGGAAAGTTTGATATGTTCTTTCAGAAACGTAGTTAGTAGAGTTCTACGTCCGTTCATGATTGCGTTGGTATTATAGCTTTGTTTGACCTCAAAATATAGGTTCCATTTTTTAGATCTGCCTACGAAAAATTATAAATATAATCTTATGTTTTGGGGTCGTCCCCAAAATATTCGGTATTTTGATGGTTATATTTTTATACCCTTCACCACACTGTGGTACAGGGTATTATGTCTTTGTGCATATGTTTTAACAGACAAAAGGAATCGAGATAGATCCATGGTTCCTTTGGAGAATATGCATAGAATCACTTTCTGAGTCGATTTATGCATGTCCGCCCGTCCATCTGTTGATTTTAAATTGTCGCATTTATGATCCGATTTGGAGGAAATTTTGCACAGCTCACTTATTTGGCCCAAGGACGAACCCTATTGACATTGGGAAAAATTGGTTCAGATTTAGATATAGCTCCCATATATATTTTCGTCCGATTTAAGGTAAATGGTGTACCAAAGTCCCTATATATCTTTCGATTTGCACGAAATTTGGTATATCCTACTGAATTATATCTAGAATGATGTATGCTGAAAATGAAAGTCTCTGAAAATGATTTGATTTGCACGAATTTTGACATAGCGTATTGAATTATGTCTAGAATGACTTGTGCCAAGTTTCGTGAAAATCGGTTCAGATTTAGATATAGCTCCCATATATAGTATCGCCCGATTTTAGGTAAATGGTATACCAAAGTCCCTATATATCTTTAGGTTTGTACGAAATTTGGTATAGCCTACTGAATTAAGTGTAGAATGATGTATGCTAAGTTTCGTGAAAATCGGTTCAGATTTAGATATAGCTCCCATATATAGTTGCGGCCGATTTTAGGTAAATGGTGCACCAAAGTCCCTGAAAATGATTTGATTTGCACGAATTTTGGCATAGCGTATTGAATTAAGTCTAGAATTGCTTGTACCAGGTTTCGTGAAAATCGATTCAGATTTAGATATAGCTCCCATATATAGTATCGCCCGATTTTAGGTAAATGGTGTACCAAAGTCGCTGCATATCTTTCGATTTGCACGAAATTTGGTACAGCCTACTGAATTAGGTCTAGAATGATGTGTGCTAAGTTTCGTGAAAATCGGGTCAGATTTAGATATTGCTCCCATACATAGTTGCGGCCGATTTTAGGTAAATGGTGCATCAAAGTTCCTGAAAAGCATTTGATTTGCACGAATTTTTGCATAGCGTATTGAATTAAGTCTAGAATGACGTGTGCTAAGTTTCGTAAAAATCAGTGCAGATTTAGATATAGCTCCCATATATAGTATCGCCCGATTTTAGGTAAATGGTGTCCTTGCAAATCTTTTGATTGACAAGAATTCTTGCATAGCCTAATAAATGGTGAATGGTATCATATAGTCGACCCAGTCCGAATTTACTACTTTCCTTACTGGTTTTATTTGGGGTGTGTAAATGATAATAATTATAAATATTGATCGACCATTTAAGGAAGTCCATATAACGCTATACCCCAAAGATCGGTATTTTTGGGTGCTTGAGCACATTTCTCAGTTTTTGTAGCTACCATAAATGGTACCACCCCAATTTCGGCATTTTCCAAACCGTGAGGACTGTAATTGGGTTCTGGAAGGCTGAATTATATACAAATGTGTGCGGTGTATATATAGCTATAGATAGATGGGTGACGTAGGGACGTAGATCTGTGAAGCCAAGCAACGGCTCTATTTGGCTTAACATGACAAAGCCCAGGCTTATCTTGCTTCCTCTTTCATCTCAATTGTGGACACTGACCTCCCCGCGGTGTCACCTGGGGCAGCCACTTTCATCATCCGTTGAATTTGTGAACTGATGTAGGTTGATACGTCGGGTTAGTTGCCCACACTCGGAAAACCAAACCCTCCAAAGTTGATGACCCCCGCAATCGTATAAAGGTCGAATCTACACTTGGAATGTGCGCACGTTGTACAGAACAGGCGCAGTTTATGCATTGGCGTATGTACTCAAGAAGTACAAAGCCGATATTATTTCCTTACGGGCAATGCGATGAAAAGGGACATGCGTAAATAAATCAAATGATTGCACACTGTATTATATCTGTCATAAAACGCGACATTAATTTGGCTGCGGGTTTATGGTTAACAGGAGAATAAAAGACCTGGTTCCCAGATTCACTCCAATAGATGAGCGAATTACTATAATCCGTATAAAATCGAAGTTCAGTCTGTATAAAATCGAAGTTCAGTCAGTCTTATTTGCACCCATGCTCCTACGGAAGGCAAAGATGAACCGACCAAAAACGTTTTTACGAGCACCAAGAAGACCGCTGCCCTGGCCATAGAATTAAAATACTGCAACAATATTTTTTTGCCCAACCGTCGAAAAATGCACCCTCCATGAAGTAACATCCGACAACGGCATGAGGTTGATTGAAAATGGTAGTTAGCAGCACTAGATTCAAGTATCTAGATGTACATAAGGTCACCTGGATTTCTTCTGATTAAGCAAGGAGAAATCAAATTGACCCTGCTGTGATAGACGGAAGGCATCCATTCAGTGTTTTAGGCGAATATCGTTTCAGAACATTGGGCAAGAAATTGCCCAATCCCTACAAACTGCAACACTTGGGTACAAAAGACGACCATCAAGAAACCCATAGTACTTAGTGCTACAGATTTGAAAAACGCAGTGTATAGGGTAACCCTGCACACAGTAGCAACACGTAATGCGAGAGAGAATAATCGGGAGAAAGAGTGGGAGGAGAAATGTAATTAAAAAAAGAACAAGAAAAACGTGAACGTGAGCAAATTAAGATGCATAAGAGTCAGAATGAAGTCCGGAAATTTTACCAACGAGTAAAACGCCAAAAAGAAGGCTTTGGTGCATGCATATCCTCCTGTAAAGATGAATAAGGAAACCTGATGAAAGATACAGACAGCGTGCTGAGGATAGGGAAAGAGCATTTTGAAAAGCTTCTGGTATGAAATAGTGGCGGAGAAAAAGATACCCCAGAACCAATAAGAGATGACGGTATAGAGTATATACCACCTAGCCAAGATGAGGTCAGAATAACAATCAATCGCCTGAAGAACATTAAACCAGCAGATGCCGATGGATTACCAGCCGAACTAATCAATACCGGTTGTCAGATGCTGATCAGGAACATGTACCAGCTGATTTGTACAATTTGGCTATAGGAACGCATGCCCAATGATTGAAACGTCAAAGTCCTGCGTCCCGAGCATAAAAAAGGGAGGCAAGACGATATTTGCCAACTATAGAGGAATAAGTCTCCTTCCCATTGCATAGTAGCCATAGTGAAGCCAATGGTCAATGACATTATTGGACCATACCAATGCGGCTTTGGACCTGGCAAATCCACCACTGAACAGTAAATTTTTTTTTTTTTTTTTTGATTTAATTCGAATCTACACTAATTCAAGAATGTCCCTACAAAATTTCAAGTGAAAATCTCAAGAACTCTTGAAAATATAGCCGATTTATTGTGTCAGCATCAAGTGGCGGCTAAAGGGCTTCTCAAACTTTAAACTCGTTTTTCTCTTTTGCGAATGGCGGGCATGATAACTAAAAAACTAATAACCCAATCGATTTCAAATTTTTACACGTTTCTCTGTGAGTGTGTAGCTATCGTATGAACTTGGTTAAAGCCAATCGGTGAAGATCTTCCTTATTTTTTAACATGGTTTTTGATCAAAAATCGGCGATTTTCCAAAAATATGTTTTCAAAGGTTCGCCATTTTGTTAATTTTAGAGTGAAGTCAATAATCCTAGTTCATACGAGAGTCAGACATGTACTCTTTCTAACACCGTTGGAATTTTCGGATTCCGATGTTCCAGCGAGGAGTTATCATGCCCGCCATCAAAAATAAGGACTTCTCTTCAATTACAAAAAAACAACAACAACAAAATTTTTTTGTAAATTATTTTTCTTCCTTTTTAAATCTTCAAATATGTATGTGCAAAGTTACAAACCTTAACAAGCATTGGTATTGATTTACCAGCTCATTGAAAATCTTGAAAAATTAAAATCGAGAATGGGGGGGGAGGGTTCCCTTAAGTAAATATTCTTCGGTTGATGTAGATTCGAATAAAAAAAACAAGTAAAAACGTCGTTATATTCGGCCGGACTGAACTTTTTTTGCCCTCCACCTCCACCACGTGAAGTCCAGTCAAAATTCCTTGAGTCGATCGGCACATTTATATGATGAGTACATTATAGTTTATTTGAGAGTAGGTTGTCCATGTTCAAAAAAAATAGTGTACCAAAACGCAGACACTCTAGTTGGAATGCTTAAACGGAGCATTTTTATTTATTTTTTATTCACCAGGAATCCAATATGTAACTCCCGTGAAAAATGCGATTAACAATTTATTAATACCGAAAAAGAACGAAACTATAGGTGGGGATATATCATATCGTGGACCTATATATACACCGCACACATTTGTATATAAATCATCCGTTCAGAACCCAATCACAGTCCCATCGTTTGGAAAATGCTGCTAAAGTCTTCAAAATAGTGAAATGGGATGCTACCATTCTATGGTAGTTACACCAAACCCAGACCTCCCAAAACCATACCATTATATAGTGGCTACCTGAAAACTTGGGTAAATTTTTATAATTTTTGGTAGGAAAATTTTTACTCAGTGAGGGTCCCAAATATTAAACTGCTCTCAAATATCACCCAAAAATACCGATCTTTGGTATCTAATATGATCCAATATTAGGGGCTACTCAAAAATTGTACCAATATTGATAACGGCTTGAAAAAATCTTCTATTAAAAACTCCACGCTTTGATAGTCCTTTGAAAAAATCTTCATTAAAAAATCTACGCTTCTAAAATCTTCGTTTCTGTAAATAATAATTTTAATAAAATCCACGCTTCTACATATCCCCCAAAAACAATTTTTATTTTTAGTTTTATTTTACTTTTCAATACCACTTATTTATCGTGATTTGAGACCATCTTCCCTTTCTTCACTCACTTAATTAGACGTCTACAGAAGCAATTCAATACATGCTTATACCCTAGTCCATCATATTTTTTATTAATTATTTATTGGCTAGCTTCAGCTGGATATCTTTAAATATTTATTTCAGTTACAAAAAACTGACATTAATGTCAATATATTTTTTTTATAATGTCAAAATTATCACATTACACCATCAATGCAATTGCATTCCTAAAATTGTCATTTATCAAATCCCCTTCGGGAATTTCATATTGATTTAAGCATTAGCAGGCAATATGTCATATCGCTAGCAAATAAAATCAGAATATCCCACAATTCTAAACTAAACTGGTCATTAAGTGAAACCAAACGAACGGAATTATGATTTATTTTTATTTTCTATTAATAAACGTTTTCGTTCGAATCGAATGCAATAATCAAACACATGTGGAATTGCTGAATGTTACCTTGGAGAAAATATTTTATGGTGTTTTTGAACCGAATTCAATAACTGTGGAAATTGTGTGCAATGTAGCTGGAAATATAGGTCAAGAAGAATTTAATAGAGACCTTGTGGAGAGAATATTGAAAATCAATGCGGGATTAAAAAATTCAATACCGATTTTCTTGAATCCTCCAACAGATGCAACACTGGAGGATAGAATTAAATTGTTGGTGGTCCAAGAATCTGAGGAAGTGTTGTAAGTACATATAAAGTAAGGGTTAAGATCCTCGAAAAGAGAAATTTTTATTTCTATTATTTCGTATAATATTTACTTATTTCCAATAATATTTAGATCTCAAATAATATTTAATTTTTTTTATTCCAGTTTGGATTTGGAACGTTCGGTGCACGTCACCAGATCTCTGAAGACCGTACACAGTACAATTCCAAAATATTTAATTATTCTAAACAACGGTCACGATCATCAAAGGCAAGAGCAGTTCATGACAATGGAGCGAATATTTCAACACTTATTCCATGCCTACATATTGGATGCTGTTATTTTAATACCTCATCACAATACAATTGAAATATTCACCTATTTCCCGTTTCAATCTGAACACAATTGTTCAAATTTAAAACCTATACTGATACTCAAAATTCAGGGCATTCGAACACAAGAACCCATTATCACATATGGTGATTTATTTCCACGAAAAACCTTGAATTTTCATCAATGCCCCTTTCGAGTTGTGGTATGGAAGACACCTCCCTATATAGATTTTATAGAAAATGCAATGGGTTCAATATCACTGAAAGGATTTGATGCTTCTGTACTGGACATATTGTCGGAGGCATTAAATTTCTCAGTGGTACTAATACCCAATGACCCACCAAATTACATCTCAGGGGTTGTATATCCAAATGGAACTGCAGTGGGTGTATTTAAAATGGTAAGTTTAAACAAACATATCGCTATAAAAATATTCATTCAAAATTCCACATTCTTGGAAAAAGACTCTTCTTTAAAAATCCACGCATTGATAGTCCTTGGAAAAAGACTCTTCTTTAAAAATCCACGCCTTGATAGTCCTTGGAAAAAGACTCTTCCTCAAAAATCCACGCCTTGATAGTCCTTGGAAAATGACTTTTCTTCAAAAATCCACGTCTTGATAGTCCTTGGAAAATGACTTTTCTTCAAAAATCCACGTCTTGATAGTGCTTGGAAAAAGGCTCTTCTTTAAAAATCCACGTCTTGATAGTCCTTGGAAAAAATCTTCTTTAAAAATCCACGTCTTGATAGTCCTTGGAAAAAATCTTCTTTAAAAATCCACGTCTTGATAG